CTCCTATAAATTAAATTTAAAAAATAATAATATAAAACCAGTTTATGAGTCTTCAATTTTATATTTCACGGTTGTAAAATCCAACATACTGCTACTAATAATACAATTTCTATAACAAAAAAATGGGAATCTGAAGACTCAATCTATGGCGTTGACCGCTATGCTATATTACTATTAACAATTAGTGAGAGGTAGCCTACAGTACCTTGTGCATTGAAAAAAAATAGAAAACTGTACACAAATTTACACAAAGCTGGCTAACCCTTCAGCGAACTGGATCCGAATCATCCGTGCTGTACACAAGTCTACTCAAACCAACAGCTGGGGTCGGGGTCGGGGGTGGGGGGTCGACGCAAGCAGCAGAGAAATGACCTGTGGTCGATGAAAGATGTTTGCAGTTTCTACTTTTTATTTATTTATTTATTTGGATGTATCACTACTTTGGAACTAGACTCAATAACATAAAAAGATGCAGCTGTGTTGAAAAAAAAAACTATTTTCTGTCATTTATTAGTCTGAAGTTTGTCGATTTCAGATATTTTGTTCTCTAGGTGAGTTTTATCATTACGCAATAATTAAAATCCATTAAAACTGAAAACTTTGAATTTTGTTTGTGGATTACTATTGTTTAAAAATATTAATTTTGGGAGGAAAAAGGCGCAGATACTACAAGATGTTTTTTCTTCTTTCTGCCGCCTTTCATTTTATTTGTGATTTGTATTTTTATCGTCTATATTTTTATTTTGTTATTTTTAAAGAAATGAATATAGTACTGATAGATTAAAGTAAAAAATGTGCGGGGGTGGAGGACAGCATCTGATTCAAAGTCAAACTTGAACAGACAAGCTGAAAAGGCATGAGAGGGACTCTGGTTATGGTGAGAGTAAAAGTAATCCATTTGAAGCAGGGTTCTGTGGCAAGGTTATGAATAAATATCGTCTTACCTGTTGCAGATCAATGTCTTAACAACCTCAGTTTGGAAAAACAGTTAACTTCCAGAGTAGGTTGCCGCAAATCTTACAACTCAAATCCTGAAAAATGCATAGTAGTTTATGTGAACGTTATTTTATAAACCCTTACACTTCAATTTGTTTTGAATTTCTTGGTTATTTCCATAGAATATTATGGCTATTGGCAAGCACGCATGGCAGTAGCAGCTAGTCTGTACCACTTCAAGTGCTACTCAGGGGCATTTCCTGCAGGATTATCACAATATTTCTGCTGAAACAACCATGTAATGCAAAATAAACAGAGGTGTAAAGGATTTGTAAAATTGAGTTTTATAACATGAGGTACTATGAATTTCTGGAGATTAAAGCAGTTTTAAGAAAGGAGCAATCCACTTTTACTTGACCTTGCTTGGACTATTTATTAGCTTGTCAATCTAGTCAGAAATAAACAATTTCTTCACGCTGAAGTTGTTCAAGGTATCTGGTCATAAACGTTTCACAGAACTCTACTCCAAATGATGTTAACCACATCTTTCAAAAGCAGCAAGATTTAAGTAGTCTGGAAATTTACAAAGTATTAAAAAGCATCAACTCCAGGTGATTTACAAGTTTACAAATTCTTTACAGGGGTGACTCGTGTAAATGTGTCAGGTGCTTTCTGATAAACCCCTTCTTACCAAGGGATTATGGCTTTTCTGGGCTCCGTTTGCAGCTAAACAGCATAGTTATCAGTTATTAGAGACGAGTTTCTTTATGGCCTGTTTGTACAGATCATTGCACAGTTAAAATCTGCAGTGTCCCCACTTCATCACTGAACGACAGACCGGTGGTACGCCGGTCTGGTTTAAGAGAATTTCAGGTATTCAGAGGTGCTCTAAAAAACAGTTTAACATGCAGTTTTTAAAATCGAGGCTGGTGCTCAGGTCTACACCACATTCATGTGATGTGAGCGACGAGGCACCGCGTCACCCAGATTAACTGCAGTCACCAATATCATTCACCTAAACTACACTTTTCTTTTCTTTTCTAAAACGTTTCCCATCAAAGGTCTAATACGGACAGTCAACACTATGAGCCCTCAATCTCTTTTTATGTAAAAAAAAAAGTTAAATCAATAAAATCTCCTCCCTACAACACTTGGCATTAATGCAGTTTGGGTTTGTTCTAGATCACCTGAGAACTTAAAATTAGATTTGAAACTTTTATTTGCTGAACCAGAAGCAGCAACATGTTTCCCTCTAATTTGCTTGGTTGGTTCTCCATTCTACATGTGATTTTCAGTGATCGTACTGCTTTCCTAAACTACACCCAGTCAACCAATAAGTGGCTATTAATGTCAGGTGATGTGGAGGGGAGCGCTCCTTCAAGTTGTTTTGTCTTTGTTGGACTTTCTGTCGTTAAGAGTAAAGAAACGTTACAGTCTCTTAAAGTACATCTAAATACCCTCTGTAAAAATCTATCTGCTGGGGGCGGGGTTTGACTTCACTGACCGGTCCATTTTCTCATTCGTACCATGGAAACATGGAGTTTTGACCTCTGCGGGACAGAAAAAGCCCTCAGTGTTTCGTTCCCTAGCTCCCTTTCAGCTAATGCTAGCTGCACAACAGCTCGTCCAGACCCAGCGCCGGCATTTTGTCAAAGTCACAAGCGTCAAACAAATCGCTGATTCCCTGGTCGTCTCCCAAACCTAAAAGGTAGTCGTCGTCCAGGATGGGAGGCACGAGGTTTAAGAAAGGGCCCTGGGACGACTGGATCTGGTCCTCTGTCTGCTGGAGGAGGCTGGTGTAAGTGGACGAGATGGGGGAGAGGGTGGTGATGGAGACGGCCGAGGAGGTGGAGGAGCTGGGCGGAGACAGGAAGGAGCTGGATATGGTGGGTATGGTGGGCGTGCAGCTGGACTCTGTGAAAATTAAACAACTATTTAGTATTTATTTCTCTACTGAAGCAAAAAGCTTCATATGTATAAAACGCATAAACAAAATAATATACGAGTCACTTTTGATGCAATATTTGACAAACAAGAATTACACTTGACCTGAACGAAAACAGCTTCCAAGAATTTAACAAATGTCATCATATCAGCAGTATCTTTATGTTATTTTCTTTCATTCAAAGCAGGGCTCTAGACTAACTTTTTGCACTGGTTGCACCGGTGCGCCTAACATTTTTTCTTAGGCGCACCAGCACAAAAGTTAGGTGCACCCAAATTTTCAACCACGTCGCCTAACATCAGAGTTTTACAGGTTATTTTTTTAATCACTGTTCATTAAGGCAAAATTAACTCGAAAATAATTAGTTAACAATCTAGTAAACATGAAGTTCTTTATTTGAACAAGAAATGTAGACCTATAACT